TCAACTGAAACAGCAAAAAATATAAAAGAACAAGAGCAACAGAATATATGTGTAATAAGTCTGCATGTTAAGCCAGTAGAGCTTTGAAATTAGAAATTATTAATTTTAATTTAGCTTTGAAAATAACAAAGAACAGAAAAATACAGATCTTAAATTACATATGTGCATAATAAATGAAAATAAAAAGGTCTTAGTCATTTTCTATAAATCAAAGCCACAATAAATAAAGCTCATAAGCTTATCTGATACTTAAACCTAATAGAAGAAATGACTAGCTGCTATCACTGGTAGGCAAACCAATTTATCACTATGGAATGTTCACATAAATCTCATTAAAAAGTAAAAACATATTTGGTAGTTTTCCTGACTTCATTCTAAATACAGTAGGAGATATTCTAAAATTTAAACAAACAAAAAAAAAGAGTATAACTGTAAACTATAATTACATGTTCACTTTCATTTAGTGTTTAGCTATTAAAATGTATAAGCAATTCATGTACAAGTGAGGATTCTGGACACCAGATCCTTGCTTTTATTTGGCAATTAGAATCAGGCCTATATTTTAATTCTGTTGCGTCAACTTGCTAATTACTCAAATGCATTAAGGGTAACAGTCTTGTCTAAGGAAAACATTTGGTTTTATAAAATTGGGACTCACTGGTGGTACTTACTCATATTAAAAATAAAAAGGGCAGACTTGCTGTTAAAAAAAAAAGTGATATATTATTGGAAAATTGAGACTACACTGAGACAATGGCAAAAGTTGAACCCATTTAAAAGAAAAGCAGAATCTAAAAATAACCAATTTAACTTTTTTTTCCCCTTTTCTTTTAACCCAGTGATGATATGTGGGGTGGTGGGAGAGGAGAACAACAACAACAAAAATCTGCTTTTAGTCCATCTAGATCCAATAATGCACTATTCTTGTCACTATATGGAATTTTGCTGCATACCTAGTACCCACACTGACAAATTAAAATTATTGTCTCATCTTCATAAGACTAAAATAGGGACCTTAAACTAGAAGGTAATGATCACTGGGTTTAGGAATAAAAACAACTAAACACTTGCAGCCAAAAATATTCTAGTCTCAAATATCTAGATATTTGGGCAAGAGCCCTTTAGACATACTCTTAGAAATTCAGATTCAGATCTAGCCTGGTCGTCAGATTTTACCATTTAACAGGAATGTCCACAGTACTGGTATTTACTATGAATGTAGACTTCACTCAGTAATGCATATCAACGGCCCATCTGAAAAGTTTTTTAAGTATTTTGAAAGATAACACACTAATCATAAGTGAAACTTGAGGCATATCCTGATACCATATACAGTACTTTAGAAAATTACAAGGAACATCAAGGCACATGTTTAACTAAAATGCAGGTTCCCCTCCCCTCTTCTCAGGAGCCAGATAAACCTAAAATGTGAGGGGTAAAGCTCCTTCCTTCTCTTTATTTTTTTGACAATAGTAATTCTATTGTGATCATATAGTGATTTTTTTTTTAATTTACAAACACATTACTTCAATATGTAGAAACAGATATCCTAAAGATGAACAAATCATTTGCTTTTAAAAGTCTTGCGTTTTAAGTTTAAAAATAAAGGTATTATAGTTAAGGATGGTTAAATTTCACGATAAAAGCCAACAATTTTATTTCAAATTCAATAGTATAAAAGTGAGAAGTATTCTCCACTGTTAAGACAAAAAAACCGAACAGGTATTTGGAAAAACTATGCTATGCTATGACAAAACTATTACAGTTCATTCACAGTAAGGAAAAGTAATTCTCCTTATACCAATGCTTCAGAGTACAGCTAACTTAACAATTTTTACATACATATAAAAATGGTGGCTACAAAAGGGAAAGCATCAAGAGACTACACTTATCCATCTGTATTACCCTAACAAATTTTCTACAACTTCTAGAAATATCAACTCTTCGTAACTATTCCTATAAACTCAATTAACAGGATTTGTCTTCTAATGTTTTTTCTCAAATGGGCAAGTCAGAAACAACCAAATCAAATTCAATCTCTAATTCATTAGAATGATAAGTCATAAATTCAGTATCTACCAATGCCCAATATTTTTAAAAAGCAATTAAGGTGTGTCCTATACTATTGCTTTTAAACTTCATTTCAAGCCACATTCCATTCAAAATACCCCTATCCCCCTAGTATATACAAGCAGATAGATTTCCCCTTGGAAACTTCTAGCTCCTTGCAAAGACAGTAGTTACTACAGCAAAACTTTAAAACTCTACATGGATACATATTTAGCTACTATAAACTTAGAGATAAGAAACACCCCAGCAACATATAGCCTGAATAGATGTATAATCAAGGGGAAAGCCAATACCACATGATTTCACGGTATATATATCTATATATCTGACCACACCATTTCTTTGGAATTAAAACAGGAAAAGCAACTAATAGCAGTACAGAAGGACTGCAGAGAATACAGTAAAAGTTGGTTGCTGGGGAGGGGGGATTTAAATGAAAGGATACAGCCTTAAAGCACCAGTCTGAGTTCCAACTGCCAGGATCTTCTGTACAGGATCAAAGGCCAGGGCTGAAGGTTGATAGGGAAATCCATGGCGAACAGTCTAGGGATGGGCAAATGACATCACAGCAACGAAGGCAGCAAGCAGAATTCAAAAGCAGAAAAGTCAACAGAGGCATTAGCATCTAGAACCAATTATAAGTGATGCAGAACCCATACACATGTACTTACTGCCTTAAAAAAAAATAAAACCCTATAGATGTATATTAACAACACTTATTTACATAGAACTTGAAATTTTTTAAAAAGTGTGTATATACATAAATATATATCTCTCCCAATTTTACATTTTAATTTCTACCTTTCCATAATACTGATATTCTATAGAAGAAAATTTCTTATTAACATTTTATACTATCATGTCTGAAACCAAAATACTAAAGTTAGTGGTAGTCAAAAATTCTCAAAATTAATGTAAAAATGCAATTCATGCTTTATTTCAAGTGTGATAACTTCGCTACTTTATGCAGATGCTAAATGACAAATACTGCTTTAAAAAAAAAAAAAGCTGTCCTACAATAAGTTTTGTCAAGGTTTCAGTAAAGCAATTATCAAACATCTATCCCCAAATTTTGCAACTGTAACAGAATGAAAATAAGTACATATATTTTTGCATTTTGCTATAGAACCCTTAATTTTAGGGCATTAGGGCAAAATGTGTATTTAGACATTTTTAAGAAGCTGACATATAAACACATGGTATTTTATGGCAAGTATTAATATCAAGACAAATTTGTATTTCTCACTGAGCAGCCAGTGAATTAATTCGCTGCATCATTCTTTCCGAATTACAGACCGCTGTGGGAATGGTGCCATCAATGGGCAAAAATCACAGTACCAACTTTTAATCAAACATAGCGATAAAAGGACCCTGTGATTTCATATTTTAAGCTTCCTACCACATTTTAAGGAAAAGGTGAGAAACAAATATCCAGTTGAACTGGTTTGGCTTTTTGATGAACAATAATTCATTAGGCACCGTTTCCGAAGGAAACTTCGGAGTTGGTGAATTACATTAAAATGTTTCAATACAAAGGCTCTAAGGTTATTAAGAATACTAATTAAAGGTCAGTAAAATACGTGAAAAGCAACCTTGAAATGACTGCTGCAAGGGGAAAGGGGAAAGAAAAACAAAAACCAAAAAACAAAAAAAGCCCAAAAGGAGTAAGATGATGTCAATCTCCAAAATAACCCACTAAGCAAATGTTTGCTTGAGGAGGAGCGAGCCCTTCATTCGAGGTATAGTTATTACTGGCGTTCTATTCCCTCGCACTCCCATGAAAAGCCCGAGCCGCCCCCTAAAACGACCCCAATTTTCGCGGGGCTGCGAGCTCCGTTCACCTTGCAGAGCTGAAAGTGCTCGGACTGGAGCGTTTCCTGGATCTCGGGCTCCCGGTTCCCAGCCGGGTGCTGCTGTTGCTGCTGCTGCTGCGAGGCCGAGGACGAGCCGGCGGTCAGGCCGTCCAGCACCTTCCTGATGTTGAATTTCCTCATGGTCTCGGCGGAGCTCCCCCGCAACCCGCGAGGGGAGGCAAGGGGCGTCCCCCGGCGCGGGAAACGAGCCCGGGCCGAGGGCAGCTTCCACCGAGGACACGGAGGAGTGGGGCAGAGTGGGAGTGTGAGGGGAAGGAGGCAGCTGGGGAGAAGCACAAGATAATCCAAACAGGAAATACTGCGACGACGAAAGAGCAGCGGCCACCAGAACCCCGGACGGCGACCCCTCTTCTTCCGAGGCCGCCGCCGCTCGCCGCGGCAGCTGTGGCGCCGCTTCAGCCACCGCCGCCGCCGCCTCGCTCCGCGGCCGGGCGGCACAGCAGTGGCAGCGGCGCCCGGAGCCCGAACTGCCCAGCCTCACCTGGCCGCGGGCTGACTCTGCGCCGCGCCGCCGCCCCGGCTCGCCCCCGCCGCCACCGCCGCGTCCATGGCCCGCGGCCCCGCCGCTCGTCGCCCGCCCCGGCCCCGCAGTCCCTCGGCGCTTCCTCCCGCTCCTGCGCTTCCTCCTCCTCCTCCCGGGGGTAGCTGGCCCTCCGTCCACGGCCGCCGCTCGGCCTCCCCGCCGCTCAGCGCCTCTGCCCGCCCGGCATCACACGCTGGGCGCCCGGGGTGGGTCCCCGCGCTCTCCGCCTCGCTCCTCCGCCGCCGGACCAGCCCGCCCTCGCTCCTTCAGAGCCCCCGCTGCCTTCCTCAGGCGCCGGCGCCGCCGCCCAGGCTCCCGCCCCACCGCTCCCTCTCGCCTAACAGGGTGCCTCGGCACACGACACCAACGCCCGCCCCGAGAAACAGCGGCACCCGCGGTTACAGCGCCGGCCCCGGCGGTGGCGGCAGCTGGGCCTCCGCGGAGCAGGGCTGGGGAGTATGCGCATGCGCCCCGCATCCCCCCCCCCGCCGCCACCGTCTTGTCCACCCCCCCCCCACCTTACACCCCTGCCGCCGTGTGTCCCCTTCGCCTGAGTGGAGCTAGGGCTTAAATTACCCTCTGCGAAAATCCCATACCATGGTTAAATTTCTCCCACCCCAATCGTCAGGCCAGAGTATGCAGCTGTTTTCTCCCGCAGCTGAGATAGTAAAAATGTTGACTAACGAGCAACAGGAAGCCTTTATTTTAAATTCGGTCGTTAAAGCGGGGGTTTATGCTCTCACCCTTCAGCGAGGTACATGCTCCTGGCTGCTGGCTGCAATATTGCTTTAGTGATGGGCTTTGTTTTGGATTGTTTTGGATCTCATTTTTGAAAAAGAGCTTCTAGACAACGGTTATGTCTGTGATAAAAGGATGACAGATTTAGGTACTAGAAAAAGAAAGGAAATAAACCGGGGAGTTGGGGGGGGGGTATTTCTTGAATCTGTTACTGTCGGTCACATTAAAGCGTGGCCATGGCAGGTAGCTGCTGGAATGGAATAGCGTGCCAGAGGGGAACCGGTCCAAGGCTGGGTGTCTGCCCGGGCCAGTGACACACCAGCCCTGGCCTCAGTCCGCACTTGGGTGGGTGGGGATGGAGGCGGTAGCAAAGGTGGAAGTAAATACCGCACTGCCACTCATTTTCAGAACCTACAATCCGCCTTGTAATGCCGATTATCCAGTAAGTAATCCCCAATAACTTCTCCACTCTTGCGAGGGGAAGAGAGGGAAGGATGAAGTCTTTGCGCCGACTTTTCCGCTTCTTCACTGGCACAATCTCCCTTGGAGGTGTAGAGACAAATGTCTGGCTCAAGTTTGAAAGGGTAGAGATTCATGCTTAGGGGGACCCTCCCGGAGAGCGTGTTCAAGAAAGGTGAATGGGAAGCAAGAGGCATTTGATTGGAAAGGACGTAGTAACTGGGGAAAACGTAAGGAAGGATGAAAGCGCATAAAAACTATTTCTAATTTGTGGAGTGCGTGTGGGAATGGAGAACACTCTCTCAGGTTAATAACTTCGCCTCTGACCGTCCTGCGAAAAGGCAAGGAAGAGGTAGAACGAGTTTCCTGAACCGAAATCAGAAGCGCCCGCCCTCTTCTTTGTGATTGGCCGCCTCCTACCCTTTCAGGGAAATTCTCGCCACGCTATTAGTTGACGTGACCGGCCTTTAAGAACATTCAGCAAACCAACTACGAGTGGGGCTTAGGGATTTTGGGAAATGTAGTTCTCTCTGGAGCTTCCGCATCCACGACGATGCCTGACACTTGGAACCTGTAAAATTGTTTTGTTGCTTACTATTTATTGAATCACTCAGTTAATTCACTGGGTACAACGGACAATAAAACAAATTTTGGGGGATTTCTTAAGCTATTTCCAAGTGGCTCTAAAGTTTTTGTTTACTAATTTAGTTCTCTGAAACACATTTTGAGTTTGAGTCATTGTGCTAGGTTACGAAGACACAAAAACGCAATACTTGGCTTTCGACAAGGTCACCACAGCCTAAAGGGGGAAAACCTCACATAAAAACAAAGCGTGCAACCATATGATGAGTCCACTGATGGAATCTTGCACAAGGACTACAGAGAGTAATTTAGCCAGCCAGAGAAGACCTAGATGTGGTGATACACACCATAGTTGAATCCAGATGAATAGGAGTTGACCAGGTGAAGAGGAGAAAGGGCATCGGAAGGTAGGTGGGGAGGTTATCGAAAGTACCGGGAGAGCTTTTTGAAAAAATACCAAAACCTCTATAGAGGAAAATTGCAAAAGAGATCATTTGCCCCACATAATTTTTTGATCCACCTTTTTATTTAATTTGGAATAAATTTATAAAACTCTTCAGAGAAGGGACAGCTTCTTGCTGAGAGGATTTGTGGTGCAGTGGAAAAATCCTAGGCTCTTCTGTCTGCCAGACATGGATTTCAATCCAGGCCTTGGTGATAAGGTGCAATGTTGGACAAATTCCTTACTTTTCCTAAGGGTCAGATTCCTCATATGTAAAATGAAATTCATACTACCTTCTTCTTAGGGTTTTGTGAAGGTAAACTAGAAACAAATATAGTTTGCACTGAGTTGCTTAGCACTCTGTAGATACTCAAAAATGTCAGTTTTTCCATCCTACTATCAGTACCTTGAGGTGAAATGGAGTTCAAGAGATCACCAATTTAAACCAGTACCCTATTTTTTGCTTCATCATTTTTGTTTTGATTTTCATGCCTCATCCCTCTCAGCAGATTGTGAATTCTTCCTGGCATTCCCAAAACTTCAATTCATAGAGGACACATGACATTTAAGATGAATGTAGAACATACCTGCTAATGGAGATTAGCTTTGTGAACTTGCAATCCATCATCTTCAAGCTCAAGGAGACGAGGACATACCCAGAATTCTATTAGGTAAAAAAAAACAATGCCCCCAAAATATTTACCTTATGATAGCAAAAATAAAATAATGGATCCTCAGACTCAGTTTTTCTTGTCTTTAAAAATCAGTTGATTTTTAAAATTAAATTAGAAAAAAAATTTAAAAAATTATGATATAAAATTTAAGAATCAAATTAAAATTAATTAAAATTTTAAGAATAAAATTATTAAAATTTTAATTTATATTATGCATTTTAAAGTTTAGCACAGAAGAAGTTTTACCCTTAATAATATCTCAACAAAGATTAATTTTTGTTTGTTTTAATGAATGAATCAGTGTGTTGATTCCAAACAATTCAGTAGCTTCTGCCTTTCAGCAAGCAACATTCTCTCAAATGGAATTCTTTCTTACCAACTGGAAGAATGGATCAGGAGATGATGATGTAATAGTATATACCACTGAGAAATTATAGATAGTTATATTACATTTATCTGAGTCAATACAACTCGAAACAATACTCAACTAATACAATGAAAATAAAAAGACAAAAAAAAAAAAGAAAGAAAGAAAAATTGACATAGGAAAAGAAAAGCACCTCATTAAATTACTCAGCATGGAAAGCCAAAGACCAAAGTTTCGTAACATTCTGGAATCTGCCACTCCTTGTTGCCTTGTTTAAAGTCTACCATCCCAGGCTAACGAAAGCTCTGTGATTGGTCTTATAGGAGCCACTGGATGCTGATCAAGAGGAATAAAATAGACACTGAAAATAAATATTTTAATGAGAAATTATATTACCAGCAAACACTTTCTGGAAGTAGACCAAATCTGTCTTACCTGTTAGCATTTATTTATATCCACTTCATTTCAATTTATTTGAATCCCAAAGGAAGTATGTGTGACAGCAATTGATTCACTATACTATTTAACACAATATTGAATTTAAATTATTTGTAAATTGCAGCAGAGATATTAATTAGTTAGTTTCCCTAGTTCAGGCCCCCTTTTCTGAATGGGTCCCCAAAGTCCTACTAAATTGCTGGGCCAGGTGTTTTGACCAGATAATTGTGTATTCTTGTCCAAACAGATTAAGGCAAATATCTGAAGTAAGCCATGCCAAGAAGTCATCTTCTTCTGGGAATTTGGAGTTGAATCAGACAATGCTAATCAGTCTGAACTAGGAAGTTGTGTGGAGCTGGGACTGAAGGTAAGTATGCCCAGACTTAGATGGCACATGGTAAAATGAAACAGACACACAACCTACAGAGAAGTGACTCTATAGAGAAGTGGAGAGCAGAGTCGCCATTCCTGACCTTCCATTTTCCCAGTACTCATTCCTTATGAAATCTGGCTACTCTTTCTTTCCGTCTTTGTATAAATGAGTTTGAATGGGTTTCTGGTTTTTAGAGTCAAATATTCTGATACAAATTTAGACACAACATGCCCCAAATATAAAGGAATATAGACATACTCTAGCCATCTTTTACTGATAATTTTACCTTCTGCTCACAGTTCTCCCTATAGTTAAAAAGATGTTGCAATAATCTGGCAAGGAGTTGGTGGCTTAGGGTGGAATGGTTAAAATTAGTGGCTGTGGTGAGAAAGGATCAGATCGTGAATTGTATTTTTTATAAGATTTGCATTTATTTACTCATCAGAGAGAGAGAGAGAGCACAAGCAGGAGGAGCAGCGGGCAGAGGGAGAAGCAGTCTCCCACCTAAGCAAGGAGCTGGATGCAGGACTTGATCCAAGGACCCATGGATCCTGACCTGGGCCAAACGGAGTTGCTTAACAGACTGAGACACCCAGGCATCCCCCTGGATTGTATTGTAATGCTAGAGCCAAGAGGATTTGCTGACGGTATGGGGGGAAGGAAGAGACAAGGATGATGCCTCTGAGTTTTGGCCTGTGCACTCCGGAGAGTGGTGTTGCAATTTAATTTCCATATTTATGAATCCTAGATAATTTTATTACCATTTGTACCTGAGTAGACTGGACAAATATCATCAGCTAAATAAACAAGTCATGTCTGGAAACAAGCAGGATCCACTACACTGTGCTCTTTGTCAGGCTCTGGCCTTTTAACAAAAACAAATAGGGGAGATTTTAGTGAGCTTTCATTATTCCATAGATTTCCCCACCACTATTTAATATTATTTGTAAGACTATCATTAAACCATATGAAAAAAATGTCTAGATAAAGACCAGTAAGTTCAAGCAAAGAGAAAATTCCAGAAGTGCAAAACAAAACTAATTAAACAAAATGAATACATAAATGTAAAATATGAGGCATTAATGTAATGTGAGTGAAAAATATTGTCAAATTCTTAAAACTGAGACACTGGGCAATCAGGAGTTCCTCAATAAATTCTCATATATTTCAAATGCTATTTCTACAATGGGCACAATATTTGAACTAAAAAATGATACTCATCATATTTTCAATTTCAGTATCTTGTTTTAAGATTTAAATACTATTGTAAAAATTTTGAGCATTTTGCTAAACTTTTGCCAGAAGTTCAATTCTTCTTCTCCTCAAATAACTCTTTATAATTTGGTTTGTGAACTAAAGAACTAGCAATGAAGTTTGTACTTTATTGTACTTTATGCCATTACTCATGGTTTATAAACTGCAGTGACTGAAAAAGCTTTGAAAAGCAGTTAAAGTTAGTATTTTGTTCCAAACCACCCCACCCCATTCCTTCCTTTTGCTTCACTCTGCTTGAATCCTCTCCCAAGCCCCCTCTAACACCTGCAACACACACACACAAAAAAGAGAGAGAAAATTGTATATCATAATACTTCTAAAAAGTATTCCTTTAACAGAGATAAGTAGCTCTCTCTCTCGCTCTCTCTCTCTCTCTCTCTTTTTTTTTTAATTAAACACTACTCAGCACCAGGTCAATAACTAAGTTCTACAAACCAGCAGAAAACTGAACACTTTTTCCCTCAGACAGAGTTGGCAGCCCAGTGAGATAGTGTCAGTTGCAGCTGACTGGTATAACAGGGCCTTCCATCTCAGGTTTTGAGTTGGACACAGCTGTGTCACATCTCTTAGTCATTTGGCTATAGAACTTTTAGGTGCTAATTTCTTTCTCTTTCCTTCTTTCTTTCTTTCTTTTTTTCTTCCTTTCTTCTTTCTTTCTTTCTGCCCTTTCATTGGGCTCCCCAATCAGTGGAGAGTCTGCTTCTCCCTCTACCCATCTCCCCACTCCTGCTTGCTCTCTCTCACTCTATTGCCTCTCTCACCCTTTCTCTCTCCCTCTCTCAAATAAACAAAATAAAATCTTAAAAAAAAAAAAAAGGAATGCTGCCTGAGAAATCAAAAAGAATCAAAATAAAAACTTTAACGTAAGGAGAATAGGAGCAATCCTCTCTCCACGGACCTATCAGAGCCAAGAGAAGACTACTAACAATGAAAACATGCAAGGTATACTAACTCTTGGAGGTTTTCTATAGGTGGGTAAACACAGTCTCAACCCCAAAGATGGAGTTCCTCAAAACAGGACAAGGTATCTAGCTTTAAACTCAGAACGGACTCCTTGACTGTGTTTTTAGCCAACACCATACACTCAGTTTAACAATGTGTCCACAAACCTACAACTGTGGTATAATAGTCACCCCTTATCAATGTTTCAGTCACCCTTGGTGAACCACAGTGGGAAGCAGATGATCTTCCTGACTTAACATAGGAAGGTCAAGAGTAGCCTAAGGATACTTCACAATGCCTGCATCATTTATCTCACTTCACCTGTCACATAAGTATTTTTTCATCTCACATCATCACAAAAAAGAAGGGTGAGTATACTACAGTAAGAAATTTTGAGAGACCACATTCACATAAGTTTTAATATAATGTACTATTATAATTGTTCTAATTTATTGTTAGTTATTATTATTAATCTCTTACCATGCCTAATTTGTAAATTAAACTTTATTATAGGTATTTTTATATAGGAAAAAGCATTATATATAGGATTTGGTAATATCCACTGGAAGTCTTGGAAAAAATTCCCCCGAGGGCTGGGGGGACTACTGTATCTGCTTCCCCCAGTTCTGGGCCAACCATCTTCACCTTTTATGTAACCTCTGGCCTCATGGTTATCTTATTTTTACTTCACTCAATTATTCTATTTTCACACACCCATAGTCTCAATTCTACCTCCAGTTGCCACTGCACTCTACCTGGTCCTTTGACCAATGACACAAACTAAGTTCCTTTGGACATGCAATTTTTAATGAACTATCTCTATTCAGTAACCTACTAACATGTTAGTAACCAGAACATTAGTAAAGTCAATATAAAAGATATTGACTATACCTCAGATAAAACGGAGCCTTTTTATTCTCAGCAAAATAACACACCAAGCTCCCAAAGAATTGGATAATTATTTGGATATTTTCAGAGTGATTTCTTAAGATAACCTTAGAAGGAGGATAAAACACTTAGCATAAGACAACTTCCTCAAAATTCTCTTCACTTATTTATAACCTCCGTCCCCCCCACCCCACTCTTCCCTACCTCATGGCAGTTTTTTCAATAATCTGATTCTTAGAAAGGCTCCTTAGAAAGCCCAGCCTTTGCTGGATGGCTTACTCACTTCCTCCAAATCCCATTCCTCAAGCCTCCCAGACAGTTCTTTTCCGTATACTTTCTTATGTTAACACTGTCTACTCCCTTCTCTCTGACACTGGGTTAGTATTCTCTTCTAATCAGAAAGAAAAGGCATGAATAGCCCAGAAGCACAAAGACTATTCTTTACAAGGGAGGGACGAGGAATGTGACTACGTACACCTCAGTAGTTTAGTTCCAGTTCGTTTCTGGTCCAGAAATACATCTGGAGATGCTGAAGACACAAAATGACTATAGTCTATAAAGCAAGGGAGTACCAAAAGGAAAGCACAGTACTGTGCAATTTCCAAAACAGAAGATCAAGAATCTGAATCCTGGTCCTTATGCCTATCTACCAACAGGGTGATCATTACTATTCCCTTCCAGAAACATTTCTCTGTGCCCACAGTGTGAAGATGTTTTGCTGGGTGTTTCGGGGAATACAAAGATGATACAACTTGGTCGTGGCTCTTCATAAGATGACATTATAGTGATAAGGGAGCAAAATCCCTAAAAACAATGGTAAGAACCAATGCTGAACACATCCTTTAATCTTCTGAGTCTTATCATTGTATATCGTTTTGAACTCTCCGTAGCAACGCACTCCCATTGGGTATGTACTCATCATCATGGTACCTTGTCCCAGAGGATGGGTTTCCCTAGAGGCAAACCTGGGGTTTGGGAAACATGGGGTGGGAGGAGAAAAGACACTAGGATTACTCAATTCCCTATGATTCTTTCTAAGCTTCTGGTTACTCCCACTAGGTTTCATCCAGACCAACATAATCCAAATATTTCTACCAAGACTTAATCTTGCTCAGCAGCCCCAAATACAGCTTCCCTTCCTTGGTTTCCTTATAACCAGAATGATGGTGTAACTTCAAGGTGTGGCTTTATAATCGGGGTAAGTGGAGGTTCTCACATTTGCTGACAGGTTAGTTCCTATTTATTTTTCAGCATGATGTGATGTGCCTTTTTGATTCTTGCAGTGAAAAATAAGTGATGATTTCTTTCAGCCCAGGCAAGTATGAAGAAAAGGATACCAGGTGCTTTGTGGCTCCGCATTGTTTTCTAGCAGCTGGAGTGACTGTGCTTTTGAGAAGCCAGTGGAAACAGAGTAGTTTGAGAGTACCAGTCAACCAAAACACTTTCACCTGGGGCTAAGCTATTTATGAGGGTAAATGCCACACTCTAAGGTTGTAATGACATTGGGTGAGGGGGTGGGGAAGAGTCACAGCTATTGCTAAGTAATATTCTCTGTCTCTGTGCTGTTTCACATGATTCATACGTGGGTTTCAGGCAGGAGGTTTGTTTCCTGTCATTTAATAAAGGATCTGTTCAGTGTCCTGTATGAGTGTCTATGCTCCATAACCTTATTTTGCCTTAAAATGTGCGTGATGTCCAATGCATGAATTCCTCTTCAGTGGCTGCCTCTTAATCTGCTCATAAACTAGACATGTTCTGCTTATTCACAGGAGAGTTTGTTCAATTCGGGAAATTGAGGAGGAAGTTCCATGATATTGTTATCATGGTTCACCAGTCTAGCGGTTTCCTTAAAGAGGCATCTTCCTGCAGT